AATATACTTTTGTTACATTTTGTTAATGTAAAAAGTTGAAGTTAAGTTAGCTTTACACTTAACTTAGTTAAGTTAAAACAATTGCATCTTCAGTAAGTAGAGCTAGGAACCAGGAAAGAGCTAGCTTTAGTGCAGCCTAATTCTTTAAGAAGAGTCTCAGACTCTTGAGTCCTTAAAAGAGTAGTTAGTAAATATAGATCATAAATAACAATTGCCAAAATACCTTAAGAAGCAGAGAAGAYCCTGGAGATACTTAGTAGTGTTTGCTTCCTTCTTTAACCCATTGTAGTCCAGCTTTCCTGGCAGCTTATCCGATCACAATAAATGTCGGATAGTTCATACCTGTGGGTAGCCAGGACCCTCCTAATCTCGCACCACACCAATTTGTAACCTAAGGGAGAGAAAGGGCACGGTAACAAACTAACAGACCACTTTGTTTTCGACAGTTATCAAGAGGCACCAGAATTAAAATTTAACTAATGTTCTGATATTAGCCAGGCGTGGCATTATTTTAGCCCAAGGTCTGCCTTGCTCTTGGAAGGCTTCTGGTGTGAATGGGCCTCCTCCGCTCCTGCCTGCACTACCCAGGGTCCTCAGCACCAGCAAAGCCTTTCCCGTGGCATTTAGGCAGCACCAAGCTCTATTTGCACCCTGCTATAGGGTCCTACCCCTATAGGGTAGGACCACTCTCTATCACCTGCAAAGCCAGTGCTTTCTCCCTGAGATATTCATCACCTTTGCTTAAACTAGGATTTCTAAACAGCAGCCCATCAATAGACTAAACCTAGTTATTTTCTATGACTCACCAGCAATACTGAAATAGTTTATCTTTATTAGTGGGTTTGGCAAACGTCTTAGATAACTAGAGGACACTTTATATGGTGATTTTTTGTTGAGGACCTTCTACTGAATTTTTTTTTGACATTAGATTTTTCTGCAGCACCAAGAAATCAAATTGCATGTAACCCTAAAGTAACATCATCCTATCTGACACAATAGCAACTAAAATCTGGYCATTTCTGTATTACACTGAGAGCTGCAGCTGCACTGAGATTTACAGCAGGGATTCAAAAATGGTTAAAATGTCCTGAGAATACCACAGCCTGTTGTCCACAATGGAGGAAATGTCTTTTCAGCTACACGTTATTTTTAGGTTGCTTAATTCACAAGTAATATATGTTGCATGTTTCAATATAAAATGAGAATATTAAGAGATCACATTTTCAAAAGTTGMATGGATAAAATTCCCAATGTGCCTAAGTGATCCAGGACCTGAATCACTTTCAGTTTTTCAGCAGGATTTAATTGCTAATATGCTTTTGAGCAACAACAGGAAATTAGGCTTTGGTGTCACTTCTTTGTCACATAAATGGGTACAGGATGCTCTGCATTTGTACAGTTTAGTTCTTCTATTGATCCATCTTTGGTTTTGCATGAATGACGGTGAAGTAACAGTGAAACTGTGTTCCTAATGCCTATTAGCATCCTGTGTTGATATCTCACTATATATTACCCCAGTTAAAGCAGCATACTYTACAGTTTTTTTTTGAAAAGTCCAGCCATAGAAGGTTTATCTGAGGTCTTGAATAGCAGAAAGAAATCCGAAATGGCATATTGACAAAGACAAAAGGACAGACAAACAAAATGAGTGCCATTCTCCTGAATGCACCGTATTTTAATCTAATYTGAATCATATTTCTTTGTCGCAGGATTCCTCATTTAGTCCTCTAATGATGGACATTGTTAATCAGTAAYGGATGTTAAACAAGAAAACTGGAGTTAGTTTTACTTGAACAACAGAAGCATTTGAGTAATGGAGTTATCACTAAATTATATGAAGGTTTTATAGTATCCACTTAGGCAGTGATCAAACTCTACAAAGGCTAATATTTTATTTCTGGATGGGTTGAATTGAAGGGCAAGAGTGCCCATCCTGTGTACAGGGGTACACAGTAGAGAGATAAATCTGACTTCAAACATTAGCCTCACCAGTTCCACTGCATAACTGCAGTATTAGGGCCTCAGTGACAGGCCATACTGATTAGATTCTCATCAATTCCCAATGTTGATAACGAGTAACCCACATGAGAGAGTTTCTTGGTCAATATGACGGGAACCTAGGAGCCATTCTGTGCTGCCCAGGTCTTTCCCAAGTGCATTATTTTTTCAAAGAGTGACACATAAAAGGAATGGAAAAAAGCCTGAGGCCAAGAGCCTTGTTGTCTGTACACCGGAGGGCATGTGAAGGCAGGAATATAATGGGTGGGAAAATGTAACTAAAAGCAACTTTGTGTTTTGTATTCAAAACCAGAAGGTTAGAGCATCCCACATACACCCTGGATGGCCTTTGGAAGCAGGAATTATCTATTACACTGTGCTGCCTTGCCAAACTCAAGCTCATCTCTGAGCTGCAAACTGAAACTCTCGCCAGGTCAGTGCATTTCACACTGCTCTCATGCTGCTATTCCAGGAAAGTATTTACATAGCTCAAAAAGATGATTGGTACTAACTGCTGACATTAACACAACTCTCACATGAGGAGCAAATATGGGCCAGGAGATGCAGCAGAAGGCATTGTTGTCACCCCACAAAGGTGCCAGTAACAGAGCACTTCCTAGTGCTGACTTGTCCTGCTTCCAATTCATCGCTAACACAGAAAGCCAGGATCTCACCATCGTAAAACCTGGCACGATGACCAGGGCAATCTACCTAAGCAGCAGAAGGAACATGGACACCCTGCTTCACATCCAAAGCATGGTTTAAAGTGGTAGGGAGCATAATTTGCTTAAGATTGCATACTTCTGCTAGCTCTGTATGTTCAGAAATCTGGGTAGAATTAAGGCACAAATCTAAGTGTGAAGACTTAAATTGTGAAAAATCCTGAAGGAGCTACCTCCCAAGGCCAGGCTCCAGCACTGTGTAGAAGACGGTGTAAGACAGATGTGTCTTTAAGCAATCCAGCTACCAACAGGGGAGGTAATTCAGGAGTCTGACATCACACGAAGTCCCTAAAGCTGGTACTAAGCAATATGACCCACCGAGTATACAGAGCAGGGAACTCTACCTGGACTGCATGCGCACATGAGGATCTGCACCAGGAGCAGAGGCTCCAGGATACCTGTAGATAATATTTATACAAATACTGKATTAACTCCATGCTGTCCATACGATGAGATATGGACAGTTCAGGAAGATATTGGTAAAACCATTTAGGAACAGTTTGATTATGGTGCATAGCAGGTGAAATAGATGAGTGTCAAGGTCAGTTTGCATGTGCTCAGCTGCCTAGGCRGCAGGGGTGAAGCTCTGCAAGGCTCTGACTGCAGTGGTGAACATGCCTACCAGTAGTGAAGATTGCTAACTTCTTGAGAACGTAGCTGTGTTAAGAAAACAGACTCCAAAATGAACTGGATTCATCAATGGTATCTGTGCACAATGTCAGCTCCATATGCATATTTTAGAGATGATTTATGCATGCCTATTTTGAAGACATGGTATTTATTTACTGGGGGAAAAAAAAGGACTTGTTTCCTTCCAGCCTTATGAAAAACCACTGGGGTCTGCTATTTCAAGTGGTCTTCTTGATGTCCCTGGATTTCTGAGCACTAGACACAAAGTCTCTCAGAAATAAAAGCTGCCTGACATAAACGGAGCATCTGCAGGAGAGCATAGGAGACCATCAACACTGCATGGGTTTGTCTGCACTTCAAGGACGGTGGATGGGGATGAAGTTAAGGAGGAATGGGTGCACTTGTCCATACTTCTAGTTAGGTTATCAAGGCCAACCAAAGCTGCRTTGAGAAGAATTAAAATTATACCCTTGACAGGAAAGAGGGGTTAGGTCTTTGAGGAAAAATCAAAGGGCAGCATATTAGAGTAATAATCAAGCAGAAGCATTCATTGCCCTACACTCAAAGAGAGTGCCACACTGAAGGGGCCTGAAGGGAACGCAAATGACAGTCCAACCCAATTAAAAATATTAAGCAAATTACTTACACTTCTATTTATAGCTAGACCAGGTAGAAAAATTGCTGAGGTTTGTTCCTAAGTTACTGCAAATCCCTTTTACTCAGTTCCTGAGCTTTGCTGTGAGAGCTGAAGAGCTGGACTGGCGGTTCTGGAATCCATCCAAGGCTTGGATCTGGTAGAGCTGCCATCAAGGCTTGGGACAGAGAGCGGGGCTACTGCCCTAAAAGCACTGGAGAGACAAGGGCACTGCCCAGCGCCGTGAATGCATTTCAAAGAACAACCTGAAGAACAAAAACTGTCAGAACCTTCTCTGTCAGAAAAGAAGAAATCTGAAAGCTGAATGTTTTTATGCTCTTTATCTTTTCTGAAACTTTCCGAATGCAGCCGGTTTTGGAGGCCAGAGCTAACCTGCAGGCCCAGAAGCAGCACACGGGCAATCCAGGCAGTGTCSGCATCAATGCCATGGGATGGTGGGGGAGTGCGATCTCACCCAGTACCAAACTGGTTCGCAGAGGTTGTAAGGGGAGAGCCTTTGGGGAAGGCACATGTGCTTGGCCTCCATGCCGTGTCCTAGCGTCTTTATTCAGTTACTTCACGCTTGGCATTTGCATCTCCCGTCTATTAGCGGGAATCTCCCGTGTTAGCGAGACGTGCACGGGCCCGTGGGGCGTTGGAGCAGGGGCGCCCACGGAAGCAACGTGCTCCATTTCTGCTCCCTTCGCACGGGGCAGCCGCCACCCCCGTCCCGTTGGGCTCTACATCCCGTCGGGCTCTACATCCCGCCGCACCGCGCGGCCGCCCCTCGCGCCCCGCCCTGGGCGCGC